AACTCCCACAAGCAAACTCCCACAAAGCTGACTCAAGACCGACCAAGTCCAGCCATGGCACTGACTTGAACCAGCCAACCGTGGCGGTCAGTCCTTCGTGAGCATGTCGCTCAGCATGCCCTTTCGTTTGAGAAACCGACAACGCGTACTTTGAAATGAGCTGCATATCCGAAACAAGGCAGTCAAATGCCCGCGACGGTGATGGCGTGCTTTGGGTTTCATCGAGACAAAATCTGTTGGGCATACGTTAGCTCACAGATCAGAAAAGGGACCTTTGACTCACATTTATCCGATGACTGATCAGCATTTTGACTGGCGATTGGAGGGTGGATTAAGGGTGCAGTCAAATCGAACAAACTCATTCTGGCACTGCCCAATCGCCAGGTGACCTTTTGGAAAGCCTGGCAAAAGAGCCAATGCTCAATATTTGGGCTTGAGGGCCGACGGTATTTGTGATGATCCCCGTCTCGGATCCCCACCCCAGTTTACGTGATGAGGGCTGCTACCGGGAAAACCAAGCAGGAGTGCATGGTATATAGGTTGTTCGCCATTGATCACCCGGCCAGCCATGTGTAGTGTGAATGCGGTCTTCATAATTGGCATCTCGGTTGGAAGTTGGACACTGATACTCCCAAGTAGTCGGCATTGGCGAGGGATACTCGGTGTCGGCATTTGACCTTGAGGCGATGGCGGAACTGCCATTTCACCGCAATTGATTGCATGCCGCCGAGCTCGCGTGTCCATGTCGAGACGGCATCCCCGTCACTCGGTATGCTCAAGCGAGGAGCCCATGTCTCTCGCCAAATGGGCTGGCCGCATTACCGGATTCATCGAAGAGATTGCTACACTGATCGTGCTGATCAAGCGTGCTGCAGTCGCGCCGATTTCTGAGCAGCCTAATACCACAGACTTTCGTCTGCCACTGCTATGTTCATGTCGAGTGATGATCTTCCCCGCGGGAAGGATGTGTTATTCGAGGATAGCGAGTATGTGCACATTGTGTCGTTACAATATAACGCACTTGACGGGTGACGGTTCAAAGACTGTTCCAAAGATGTCAGTATACATCCGGCGATATGGGGCCACTCACAATTTATCATCCTCGATCTCACAACTCTTCAGCCCGTACATATATTGCTCCACCATATCTCTTTGTCCATGGCGGAATGGGTTTGTAGACTTGTCTGGTACAGTGATATCATTTTCAACTCTCGCGAAATATTGGCCGAGTGTGCATTGATACAAGATGGGCTGCAAGGTGGCAGTCTGTCGTAGCCTGAAGCATGGATCATTTGCTCGACGTGTGCCTGAGGCATGTCCCACTGGGCACGGTATTAGTGACTGAATCAAGAAACGACCCCTGACTCACCTATCCAGGTACCGGGCTGACAGTTGTACCACCCTTGTAGTGTTAACCTGAGGCGGTTGAGTATGGATTGGGCTGGCCGCAAGTTCGGTGTTCAGCGCAGTCTCGTGTGGTATTGGGCTGGCCGGGACATAGCTGCACAAGACAAAGTTTTCATGCTGTCATATTTGAAAGAAGCCAGGAGAGGCAAAGTTTGGTCGGCTTGGTGGCCAGGTTCATAGGTGTCAAACGTGCGGGATATGGTGATGCGGTTGAGATTTGTGACTTTGACCCTAGCTGATAGGCACGAGTGATGGCGATATCAACAGCGTGACGGAGTTGGATGATTTCATCGTTCGGGAGGTGTATGATCCGTGTCAGTGAGCAGTGAGCACCGACACCGAAGATCAAAGGTTTGGTACTTATCTTGGGCATCAGGGGCCTGTGAAAACAGAGGGGTCTGTCCGCATATGATGCTATGCTCAAGATACAGGCTCGCAAATCCAGGTCGTGCCCATTCCTCCCTCGGCGATGACGAGCGCTGTATCAACGAGTCTGCCCAAAGCCGCTTCTATTACGCCACGCAGAACGGTTCGAATGACTTTCCTGGCCCAGTGGTAGCACCCAGTAGGGCAACACATGCACAATGGATCACGACTTTTGATGCGCTCAGGAGGCATAAATCTGGCGAGCTACCAATGGAGACGTCTCGCGCAGTTGTAAGAGGCAGAAGGGAACGCAACGATTGGTTAGCGGGGGCGATGGTCGCTTCATTCGTTGCTGGGCCGCAAAAACCAGGCTCTGTCGCTGACTCTCCACAAGATTGATGAACGATATGCCTGCGATCTGCTGTTGCAGACAGCCGCATATCTCTTCGAAAGAATCACTGTCGTCGAAAGCGATGACTCTAACCTCTGGTGACAATGGCTTCCACCAGATTGGCAGGGGGAGGAGCAAAGCAGAAAGCGACAAGCCTTGTGGCAGGTCTGATTGCTCCATGGCCTTCTTCTTGGACTGGTCCATGGCGATTGACGTCTGTCCCGAAAAGCAAGATCTGTCCACCCATCGGATGGACTTCCCGCATTCTTCTGACTCGCACCCTCCGCAGGTGAGGAAGCCGGTCCCACCATGAAAGGGTTCCTCGAAATCCACAGACTGAGGCTTCATCACCTTACCATGCACCGTGTGTTGGCGGCCGGTATATTGGTCGCATGGCTGCCTCAACTTCCCAGAGATATAGAGTGATGTTCTCAAAAAGGGGGCATCAGTGGGTGAGGCGAAAGAGTGGAGTGATCGGGCAAGCCTAATTCATGTCGACTTCTACACTTCGGCACGTTTTCCAAAGCGAGACACATCGCTTCATGGAAAAGGTGGCGACGGTGCAAGCCTCGTTCAGCTGCACGACATGTCTCGCCTTGTCTTGGCTAGTGACTCTGCAAGATAGTCAGCATGTGTCTCATAATGTGGGCTCACTCACGGTTTTGTTATCTCGTCTCACCCTGCACCAACGACGGACGACACTGCCAAGACAGTAAAAGGGTCGTCTTGGGGAGACAAGTCCCAACTCCAACCGACCCAACGCATGTTCCCTCTTTTAGGTCCATGAGGTCGGTTTGGTCTGTCTGTTCTCTAGCCACGATCATGGCTGACGATGAATAGGTGGTGATGGGGCAGAAGCACCGAGCAGGCGTACATATTTCAACCCTCATCCAGCCGCACGAGATCTGTGGCCGCGATGAAGTGCATGAGTAGTCTTGCTTGAGACACTATCAGAACATCATTCATTCAGGATAACGGCGACATGTGCACGGAAAGGGCTTAATGATGGCCGTGTTTGATCCTCAGAGGTCTCGCAGATGATCTCGCTGGAGGCACTGTTTGGCAAGCACATGACAACAGTGGAACTCATGTTCGTCTCATGAGGATTGTTATCGGTGTGACTGACAGGTAGTTGTATAACTTTGGAGTGCTGACTTGGGGCTGTGGTATAGACCTGAGTGGTCGTAACATGGGGAGTTTCAGCACTGGCCAACGGGTATGGGGCTAACAAGGGACTTACCTGCAGGATGCCTCATCTGCTATCTTGTGCTCAAGATGCTAGTCAGTAGTCACGATGTTAGCTCCACTCGACAAGGCACATGGATACAGCACTCACCAAAGGAGTGTCGCCAGTCAAGGCTCGAGCTCTGGCCCGCAGGCATGAAGACGGGTACAGCGGACTGAACCACCGGTGGGTAGAGAGAGGCAGGTGACTTGGTGGCTTGAATGGGCACAATGAATATCAATAATGGCAAGAGTCTGGGGTCAAAGAAAAGGGACTTATGAGTCTGCTGCAGGTAGGCATCTTGGTTTCAGCTTGACAGAATCCGTCGAATGTAGTAAGGAAGAGAATTGTTTCGACAGAGAACCAGGGAAGGAGGCCATATTTATAGGTCTTTTGACTGATCTTGTTACCGCCCGCTTTGTATTGCCGTGATGATATCTTTTCTGTCTATCGCTTTTTGGGGGCCATTGTTTTCGGGGGCTTCGAAGTTGCCTGTGCAAAGTCAGGCCTGTTGAACCTCGACTTACTGAAGTGACGGGCCAGACAATATCCAAGTACAGTCCGGTGAAAAATGAACGGTCATCTCAAGGGCGGATCAGGTAATTTTCTGCAATTTTAAAACAAGAAAAAATTATGTTATTTTTCTTGGTTATCTTTTATTTTATTTTTATTTGTCTGAAGAGCGTTGATCAACGTTCAACATTGTCTCAACGACCGTGCTTTCAACAGTTGAAACGGTGAGCAGCGATCATCGCTCGACTGCGACAGCATGCACCTTCATCACCATCTGCATTGGCTGTTGATTCAGAACAGAGGCCGAAGATTATGCTATGCTCTGAGTAAGTCGCCTTACTTGTTGATGATCGAATTTTCAGGGTCTAAACCTTCGCCCACTCAAAATATTTCCACTGGAGTGTACTGCAGCCATGCTACATTGATTGTCGTACTACGCCTCTTATTTTGACCCGCCCGGGACAACATACATCGATGATTGACACCACAAGCCGGTCTTCGGCCAATGCTAGTTGTCGGATTCAGAGAGTCTCGAATACTGGGTCCCTGGAACTACTGAGCTGAATGGTCAAGGGGCGCCCAAGGACTACGATTCTATACCTGATGTTTGTCTTTGCTGCTTTTCGGGACTGATATTATCAGAAATGCGATTTGCACACTATCCATTTGTACTGTACAGACAAGCCGATCGAGAACTAAAGTCGTTTTGAATGTATCAAGGCAAGACAGAATAGACACAGCCCATCTGAATGCAGAAAGCGCTAGGGACGCAAAAATTTCCCAGGTGCATTGAGAAGCTTCCTGAAGTACTGTATGTACTTTCTGCGAAAACAAATGTATTTCTCGACTTGTACCCAGATCACGCTAGTCCTTATCTTGAGTTGTTCGGTATGAAGGCTCATGAAGCTCGCTCACATACTCTATTTGCAGTATTAAATGGTATCTTCTTCTTCAGTATGTGTTCTTCAAATACAACATCGAATGATTCTGTTGACTCAAGCAAGGCCATATCTCCAGATGTCAAGAATGGATAATTGATATGACTGATGGAGGTTTTCTCGAGACCATCCTTTCTTCAGTCTCACTTTTCCCATACTCTCATTTGCCCCATTGGTATTCGAATTTCTTGAATTCGAATGGCTTGTATGCGACTGTGGAAAGGGGTAGCGCTTGTCTGAGGCTGGACGACATACTCAAATACTCTTCCATAGTCGCTATACATAATTCAGCAGCAAACGCTGGATATGCTTTCAAGAGATCGTAATCGATCCCCGGGGTCAGCCCTCCTTGAAGTTCTCGCAGGTTTTTCACAATCAGTCCCTTCGCTAGCTTCCTAATATCTCGGTAGTCGGCATTTGTTGAATATAGTTCCTTGATTGCCTGCGCCAAGATTTGCTTTTCGGAGCAATTTTCAAATGAATCTCGAAAGTTCTCCGCTGCTTTGATCTTCAGATCTTCGATCATGAAGTAATCTGCTTCTCCATACATGCGGAGATGGAAATAGCATGGGTGGCAATCAGTCAATGATTCGTCGATAGCGTCCATTTGCTCGCTGGAGCCTATTAGGGGGCCCTCGCCAGCTACTGAAGTCTTTTTGTTCACTGAAATTTGGTCCATAAGACTCGCTGTAGGTTGATTTGACAGTGACACAGTTGCACCAACGGCATTATCTTCAGCTGGATGGTTCTCCATGTCATCTTGGTTTTTTTGAGAGAGTCGCAAAGCTTCTTCCGAATACCATGTATCTGGTTCTGGTATTTATCGCTATCGCTTGGTAAAATCTGAACTTCGGCCGTATTATCTTTGACTGTGTAATCTCCAGTGTAAAGAAATTCTAGCATCTTCTCGACTAGTATCGGGCTTCGAGTGTCCAAAGTGATAGATCCTTGAGATTCCTGTGAGAGAGTCACGTAAGCTTCGGTCTGAAGGTTCCACAAGGTTCTGCCTGAATTCACAGTACCTCGAAAGAACCACAACAGGCTCTTTTAAAATACTTGGATCTGGGACACAGAACAAGCTTATGAGCTGGGAAGACTCTATCTTGGCAAAGAATCTCGAGATCGCTGTAATCGGGGTTGAGGTGGAGGCTTTGTGAAGATGAGCGGAACTCAAGAGTGAAACCATGCCATGATTCTAGATAAACTTCATATTCTTACCTAGCAATGACACCCAAAACGACATCTTGATGCTCTGTATGTTGCATCTTCTTTTGAATGACGGCAGTGGGCTTAGGGGGGTCAGAAGCAGGATCACTGTCCGTTGATGACCTTGATGAATTGTGTCTTCTGTTTCTTCTGTTAGCCATAGTTTGGAGATAATAGAAAAGACCAAATTTTATTCGGTTTAGCGGATGGAAGATGAGACAGCAAGTAAGCTATACGTCACTGAAAACTGCGCGTCAGATGCACAGCTGCCCGACCCCGCCTTTTGGTTGAACAACACCAGCAATTCGTGTTCGTGACTCACCGCTGGGCTGATAGGAGGGAGACATTAGGGATTCGATGTATCATATATCAGGCAATTCGCTCCGGTAAGATTCATCGTTGTTAGAAGGGGTGTGGGTCATCCCCCAAAGGCAGAAAATGCCAGTGAGGCATCTATTGACATGGTCATGTGTTAGCTTCCACCAAGGATATGGTCAGCAAGTAGACAAAGTAGTGGCTGGCAGGCTATATACTCTGACAAGTAGGTGCATAAGTAGTCTGCAGATACAGCACAGAAAGCAAACAACGTGTCACTGTTCTTGAGCTCTGGTGCCGGTTAAGAGCCCCAAACCGTCACTCGGATCTAAGAGCGGCAAGGTGATGGGATAGATCTCCGGATGCTCGAGGAGTCTCCAGCTCTTTTGTTTGACTCATTCGCAATGGGATGGAAAATTCAAGCTACTTTTGAAACCCAATACGGCAAAAAGGGTACAAACAAACAATACATTAACGCCCGGCGGCTGAGCCGAAAGGGCAACTATCACTGATCTACTGTACATGTCCATCTGTGTATGCTGTGTCTCCTGAAAGCCCATACAAAAAACCTTATAACATATAACATTTCCAGAAAGCAGTGTCGCAGCGAGTTTCTCGTGGGTTAGTAAGTGGGTTAGTAGGCTGGCTTGAAAGTGCTTCTCCAAGTGTTCAACATCCTATCTTCGGCAGTTGAAGCGCGTCTACCATGTGTAGCACGAGGTGGTGGGTAAGTAGGGTCGGAAGAAGGGGTGGGGGTTATGTTGGTCGATATGTTCAAGTGGCCTCGAGTCGGCCCGTCGCAATGGCGAAACGTATGGAGGCCCGTACTGCCTCTAGGTTTGGCGTCCACTTTTGATCATCAGAAGGCTGTTTTCCGCCCAGGAAGAAGGATATGTTTCCTCGGTGAGTCTGCGTGCATTGTAACAGTTCCGTCCGGTGTACAGTCCACTTCCGACATCGGAAGAGGAAGTGCTCCACGGTCTCGCTTGCTTGTCCGCAATCGCATTGATCCGTCTCTGCTACATTGATTTGATTGAGATACCCATTGAGCCTAGCCATGCCGGTTCGGAGTTGGGCCAGTACGCTCGCTTCTTTCCACGTTAGGCGATCATACAACTGCCGGGTGTGTTTGCCTGGCAGTGCGGTATCTACTCGTTTTGCGTGTCTTCCTATGTTCTCTGGTAGCTCACTGCTGGGGACTGCTTGGGACCGTGCGATGTTCAATGTTGTCGACTTCATCCTCGAGACGTGTTCTTGTGGGAGAGCATCTTCTTGAGTTGCAGTTCTGGCCTGTTCTTTAGCCAGACCTAATAGCTTGTTGTCGTCGGTAGTAGGGATCCAGTGGAACTCGATGCGGTTTCCATTCCTCCGCAACCTTCTCATCAACTTGTACATCTGACAAACAAACTCCTGGCCAGACTGTCGTCGGGGGTTTCTTAGCGTGAGCACCGCCGCCTTGTTGCTTGTGAGCAACGTAGTCCTGTAGTCCTTGATTCCCACTATCATTTTCAACACGTGTGCCATGGCTGCCAGCTCCGCAGAGAACGGGTTCTGCTCTGCCCTCGCGCCCAATGTGATAGAAAACGTTTTGAGCTTCAATTTTCGATTTCGAGGTGGCTGTTTCTCGATTGCGACTCCAAATCCCACCAGCTCGTTCCGTGCCGAGCTGCTGACCGCGATCTGCATCAACCCGCCCGCTTCAGTCTGGGGTTCATGTTGTCCGTCAATATTGGTCTGTACGCGTTCGTCCCATGGGGCCAACGTGAACGGGTCAATTGTTTCCAGTGTCTCCATGTCGATGTGCCTAAGCGCATCTGCCACTTGGTACAGCGGCGAGCGATGATATGGCCTGAACTTTCTGATCCGGTCTGTGCCTCTGCGGAGCGGGTTTGTTTCAGGAAGGGTATGCATGTCCGTCCACATTTTCACGGCCCGTCTCCAGAAACGGTTCCGCGCGGTGGCAATGTGGGCCTCCGCCTCCGCTACGCTGGTCGCGACGGTGAGGAATGTCCCCACAATGGCTTGTGCTCCAACTCTTTGGACTCGATTGATCGGCCCCATGGCCTTGTCCTTACACGCGTGCATCCAGACATTGGAGGCGTAGTCCACAACTGGCGCCACCGTCGATGTAAATAACTGCCGCGCCGTTGCTGGGGAAAGGCCGCGAAGTCGCCGAAGCTCCATCGCTGCCTCCAGGCCCTTGGACGCGGCCCTCGCCATATGTTCCTTGTATTTCAGTCTCGTGTCCATCAAGACACCCAGGATCTTGACGTGGCTTTTGGGTACAACCGTCTGTTCCTTGATGATAAACGACTCATGGTCCGATTTACGCATCTTGGGAGCAAAGTGTATGATAGCTGTCTTTTCCGCCTCAAAAGTTGCTCCACTTCTCCTTTCCCAATCGAGTGCCTCATTGATAATTGCCTCGATTCCTTGCCGGTTACTCTGCGCGGTTGGCCCGGTCACCCATGTGGTAAAATCATCCACAAAAGCGACCGCTCCTCCTTGGCTGTCAATCTGTCGTTGCACGAGGTCTGCGTTGAAGAAAAGGAATAGGATCGGAGATAGGGGTGAGCCCTGAGGCAGGCCAGCTTGGGGCAATCTTCGGGCCTCCGAAAGCTGCCCGTTGATCTGAATGGTGGCCGTTCGCTCTGAGCAGAATGCCTCGACCCACCGGAGCAAGTCATCTGGTATGCCTCGCGCTTTCATCCTCTGGAGTAGTCGTTCTTTGCACACACCGTTGTAGGCGCCTTTGACATCGAAGCTGATCAAACTCAACACCCGTCGGCCACGCCACGCGGTGTAGATCTGCTCTTGCAATAGCACAAGCGCTTGCTCCGCGGACCGTTGCTTTCGGGCGCCGAAGTGGCTGGTCGGGAGCAAGCCGTGTGTCTCCACAGCGTGCGAGATCCTTTCCGCAACCACCGATTCCAGTATCTTACCCAGCGTCGCGAGGAGCGAGATTGGCCTCCATGCCTTTGCAATAGTGTAATTTTCTTTATTCGGCTTCTTGAGCGGTATGATCTTCGCGTGTCTCCATTGTGTCGGTAACGCGCCTTCTCCCAGTGACGCCTGGAATAAATCGAGAACCCTGTGCTTGACAGTCGGCCATGTCATCTTCCAGACTATCGCCGGTAGACCGTCTTCACCCGGTGCCTTCCATGATTTAGCAGCAAAAAGCTGTCTTTCGATCTCTTCCATGCCAACCGTAGGCATCCTCACTGGCTCTCTCTGTGGTCTCGTCCCTTCGTCTTCAATCACGTCCGGTAGAGGGGGAAAGAATTTGGACAACAGCTCTTCTGCTTGCTCCTTATGGTCAGCGGTGGTAGTCCCATCTGCTCTGACGAGTTGTGGTAGCTTCCCGAATGCCGCGTCTTCTCCCGATTCCAGGTACTTAGCGGCTTTCCAGATATTGTCGTTGTCTGCGAGAAACTCATTCCAGTGCTTCTTCTTTTGCTTGCGGATGGCATCATGGTATTGTTTTGCCGCATCCTGGGCCATCTTTTCGAGCTGAGGTATTTTTCGCCCCGCCCGTCGCTCCGAGCGAGCGCGATTGCGCCAGTGTGTGTATATGTAACGGAGTTGTGTCAGGTCGGTTGTCCACCACCGCTTCGCGTGTGGCGATGGTTTCGCTCTTGGAGTTAAAGTATGCACTGCATCCGAGACTGCGGACATCAGTCGGTCGGTCTTCTGCTGCACTGTGCCTTCCGACGGAGTGGTGGCCAGGGTGCTCGCGATTCTAGTATTAATCTCTTTCCATGGCGCGTTCTTCAGAAGAAGTCGTTCCTGATGCTTCGGGGCTGACCACGGTGCATCGAACACCGTCTCAATCGTCCGGTGATCCGAGCCGTGCTCAGTCCCGTGTATTACACATTTGGTCATCAGGTCTGCCAAATTGTCGGAGGCCAGGACGAGGTCAATTGTGGACTCGCAGTCCCCATACTGTCCTTCGCCATGCCATGTTTTCGTGCCTCGTTTGAGCAAGCTACTAAGAGCAAATTCACTCATGAGGCCAATGATTGGATCCGCTTCGCCTTGTCTTCCCAAGGACACCTCGTCTCCGCCCCAGAGTTGGTCATGGCGGTTGAAGTCTCCCATAATCATGATGTCCACCACCGCGCCCGTGTCTCGCCGCACCATCGCAATTGCCCTTCTCAGGTGACCACACGCGTCATCCAGAGCCGAGGAATCTCCCCCTTCGACGTAGACCGATGCTATAAAGATCAGCCGTTCGGGTAGTCGGATGACCGCTGCCGTCAGATCCGGGGACTCAATGGCCACTTGCTCCGCTTCTACATCTTTGTTGACCCAAAGCATGCTCCGGATCGCCCATCTGCCTTCCCTCCAGGTGGAGGGTACCATCTTCGTCCATTTGTGATGTCCCATTGGGGTGGTCAAGAGTCGTCCCTGAATCCTCCTCGCCGGGGGTTCCTGAATCGCTAACGCCACTGCGTCCTTGGTTTGTTCGTCGTTCATTAAGCTTTCATGCACGGCACCCTGCTTCCTCACATTCAATTGGATTATTCGAAGTGTTTTATTCATGACGTGGTGGGTAGAGCTTCCGGCAATTCTTGCTAAACGACTCATGTGGCCCACCGCATGGAACACACTTTGGAACCTCTTGATCGCAGCGACTGTGGTGATGACCCTCCGAGGCGCACTTTGCGCACTTCTGGGTCTTCCGGCATTGGAATGCCTTGTGACCAATCTCCTGGCATTTATAACATTGCATCGGTCGTGGCCGATATTCAAAGACGCTGGTTGTCCCGGCAGATATAATATTGCATTGGTATACTAAGATGTAGTCTGTTCTTTTAAGCCAATACAACGGAGAGATGGGCAAATTCCCCCCCATGCTTTCCCAGCTCCTTATCCAGCTCACTAGTACTCATATTCCTAGATGTCCGTAGATCCTCTTGCCTTCAAGATCTTAGCCTTTGGGGTTCCAGCAGGACCGAAAACCTTCCCCCACACTCATATACCCGTTTGCTCCTTAAGCCCACCCTCCAGGCCAAGTTGCAGCTCTGCTAAG